TTGACCAAGGGAGGAGGGTATAGGACCAGAAAGGTTGTTTCCATCTAGATACAAGGCAACTAAATTGGCTAATTGACCAAGGGAGGAGGGTATAGAACCAGAAAGGTTGTTTCCAGATAGATACAAGGTAACTAATTTGGCTAATTGACCCAAGGAGGACGGTATAGGACCTGCAAGCTTGTTTTCAGACAGATACAAGGTACCTAATTTGGTTAATTGACCAAGGGAGGAAGGTATAGGACCAACAAACAAGTTTCCAGACAAATCTAAAGTAACCAAATTCTTTAGCTTCCCAATTTCTGAAGGAATAGATCCATTGATACCGTTTTGTGAAAGAGACAAAGACACCAGCTGGGTTAAATTACTGATATTAGAAGAAATGGGACCAATTAGTTGGCAATGGCTTAGGTCTAAGTCTATGAGATTTTTCAGGTTCCATATTTCTGGAGGGATGCCACAACGAAAAGAATTTGAGGCCAAGTGCAAATATGCAAGATTGGTCAAATGGCCTACAGTTTGAAGAATCGATCCAACAAAGCAATTCCTTGTCAAATTCAAGGAGAAAAGATTCTTCAAATTCTCTAGTTCTGTGGGGATGGAATTGATGCAATTGGAAGAAACGTCAAGTACCATTAATTGAGTGAGATTTCCAAGTGATGAAGGTAACGCACCTCTTAGATCATTATTGGACAGATTTAGGTGCTTGAGACTCGAAATAGCACCAATTTGAGATGGGATGCTCCCCTGGATTCTTAGACTGCTGAGATCAAGCCGAACAAGATTGGGAAGGCAAGAAAAGTTCATATGTTCAAACTTTTCTGTCACATTGAGATGATAATCTGATAAATGAATCTCGATGACACTTCCAGTACCATCGCATGTTACGCCAGGCCAGCCACAATGATGTGTAGATATGCGGGGAATATCACTCCACCACCCACTTTTTAGAAGAGCTTCTGCCTCTGATCCCTGAGGTTTTGGCTCCAGAGTTGCCCTTGCCCCTAGTCTGGTGCCAAAACCAATTGTACAGTAGAAAAAGAAGGTAGCCCATGTTA